TTGGCAATATTTGCACACTCTTCTTTGCAAAAACACTCCAAATCTGTCAGATTGCGAGGGCATCTCCTGTGCATAGCCCTCTTCAGATCACCCGACAGATTTTCGATCGGATTCAGGTCTGGGCTCTGGCTGGGCCATTCCAAAACATTTCTTTTAGTGAAGTCATTCCTTTGTTGATTTGGATATATGCTTTGGGTTGTTGTCATGTTGAAAGATGAAGTTCCTTTTCATGTTCAGCTTTCTAGCAGAAGCCTGAAGGTTTTGTGCCAATATTGACTGGTATTTGGAACTGTTCATAATTCCTTCTACTTTGACTAAGGCCCCAGTTCCAGCAGGTGAAAAACAGCCCCAAAGCATGATGCTGCCACCACCTTCACTGTGGGTATGGTGTTCTTTTGGTGATGTGCAGTGTTGTTTTTGCACCAAACATATCGTTTGGAATTATGGCCAAAAATTCAACCTTGGTTTCATCAAACCATAACACATTTGAGGGTGCATTGCAGCTAGAGAGATCAGTGAAAGCTTCTTCCAATGCTCATTTACTGCTGGTTAAGCATAGGCTATATGGCCTACATGTGATACCTGACCATCCCGCTATATGGGCTTGTTGGACATTCATGGACATTAAAATAGAGTTCCTTACCTTCTTGCTGCTATACCAATCTCCACTATTTTGGGAAGAATTTCAATAAGATATCGGAGTCTATGTGAATTTGTGTCCATTGAACTAAAAGAGTATTAGTGAGGTCAGGTACTGATGATGGGCAAGAAGACCTTGCTCACAGTCCATATTCCTGTTCATCCACTGCCCTCAAACCGTTACCACAAGGTTGTAATCATAAATGTGAAGTGAATAAAAGTGGGCGTGTACCAAATATACTGTGATAATAATTCATACAAAAACATCCCATATGCAAATAACATAAACATCAATTATCATACAACCAAAAACATTTTTTTTTCAAAAAATGTGAAACAGAAGAAAAAAGGGTGAATTATAAAAAGTTCCCAAATACCAACCTGACGCGACAGTCCAACCGATAACCAAATCTTGCAAATCCGCTTGTGTTCCACCACCGTGTATGGCCAAAATGAAAACTCACCGGATTGACTCGGCCAACACTTAATCTGGTGAGTTTTCATAAACTCAGGTGAGTTTTTTAAAAATCTTCTATTTCACATTTTTTGAAAAAAAAATGTGTATTATCACATTTGGTAAGCAACCACTTTTATTCACTTCATATTTATGATAGGTGCAATTTCATGTAAAGGGGTAGCTGCCTAGAAATTTATTTATTCATTTCACTAAATATATGTTCTGATTGGGGTTGTCGTTTTTTTTCTCAAGGTTGAAATCATGTCCAAACTGATTTTGTTTTTTTTAGCATTAATAGTACTCTTCACTGAAAGCACTCATAATCTTGATGGTCAGGTGTCCACAAGCCTTATCTATAGGATATGGAAATTCTTAGGCTCTGTAGAATCGCAGCTATTCTGGCTGCTATTTCAAAACACGCTGTCAAATCACGCAGCAGCATTCTCAGGTGTCATTCACTTCAGTGGCACCTAAAAACGTGGTGTGATTCCGCCATGCTTGTTGCACAACAAATCGTGCTGCAATTGTGCAAACCAAGTTGCACATTGCGTGTCACCAAAAAGAAGTTCCAGAACCTCTTTTGGGCGGCACACGTCATTTGATTTGTTTTGCACAGTTGCAATATGGTTTGTCATGCAACAATCGTGGCAGAATGATGCTGCGTTTTTAGGTGTCATTGAAATGAATGGCACCTGGACACGGTGATGTGCGATTTGACATTTTAATAGCGCACTTGAAATCTCAGGCAGATTCGCAGCGATTCTGCCTGCGATTCTGCCTGCGATTCAAAATGCCTATATGTGAATGGAGCCTAAATGTTCATAGCCTGGCCACAGATTCACTTTAAGTTTACAGAAACAAATATATAATTTTAGACCCCGTTCACACTTGAGCGTTTTGTAGCTTGAAGCTCAAATACGCTCAACAAGCAAAAACCTATTTTTAATAGCCCTTGTTCACATCTGATCATTCTGTAATTTGTAGCAAAATGCTTGTTGCTTAAAAAAGTACACAAGCTACTTTTCAGGCAGAATTGAGTGCCTTTGTCCCCATAGACTGGAATATAAAAGCCTGAAAAGCTCAACATGAGCATTTTTTTTTTTCAAGCGTTTTGTCTAACGTTTTCAACTCAAACAGTCCCTGCCCCTTTTTCAGCTTTTCATTGGCCACATAAAAAATATCTAGTTGAAAAATGCCTGACAAAAGCTGCAAAAACGTGCAATTCTGCTTCAAAAAAAGTTCATAAACACTTGAAAACATGACACTCAGGTGTGAATGTAGCCTTATTAACATAGAAACATAGAAAAGTGACAGAAAAGTGACAGCAGAAAAAGGCCGAGTGGTCCATTGAGTCCACCCATTTTTTTTAATTTGTGTTTTTGGTTTTTTTGTTAGCTTTTTTGTATAGATCTATGCTTGTCCCAAGCATGTTTGAAGCTATTTACTGTTAACTGACTCACTACCTCTGCTGGATGTTTATTCCAAGCATCAACTACTCTTTCAGTAAAATAATATTTTCTGAGATTAGTTTGAACTTTCCTCCATTTAGTTTAAGGTCATGTCCCCGTGTTCTTCATTTTGGATTTCTGTTGAAAATACTGCCCTTCTGAACCTTATTTACCCCCTTGATATATTTAAAGGTTTAAGTCATGTCTCCCCTTTCCCTTCTTTCCTTCAGACTGTACATATTAAAGTGTTACTAAACCCAAGACCCTGCATTCACTTTATTTGGTCACTCACAGTACACACAACATGGAAATGAAATTATTTTAGTAAATATAAACTGCTAAATTCCTTTTCTCATTCAAAGTTAGAGCAGTCTTGTGACTTCTATAAGTGTCTAGCTGAGCACTAGCTAAAGCTTGTAGGAGGAGTTTTCTTTCTGCTCTAGGAGGATGCAAATCCCCTGACTTCTGTCTGGACAGTGCTGATTGGCCCTGTGCTGATCACATGCACTCTCCCAAGAAAAAAAAAAAAAAACCTCTTTAGCAATATACACCAAACTGAGCAAGTGCATGGCTACAGTTCAGTCTAGAGATAAGTGGTGGTCGCTTGAAAAGGGGAGGAACAGAGAAGAAAGGATCAAATGGTCTTTTTTTTACAATGCAGCAGATTAGGTTCCACAGTGAGTATAACAAGCATACAGTTGTGGCCAAAATTATTCAACCCCCACTGAAATTGAGTGTTTTGGCCAGTTTGACATTGCTTTTGATCATTCAGTCATCTTGCTTACATTTACATTAAAGAGGCACTTGTAGGTCAGACAAATATAACATAACAGTTATAATGAAATAACCACAAATGTCTTTTCTGTGCTCACAGCATTATCAGTTTTATTCAACCCCCAAGTGACATTCAATCTTAGTACTTAGTACAGCATCCTTTTACAGTTATAACAGCTTTTAAACGTGAAGCATAGCTTGACACAAGTGTCTTGCAGCGATCTACGGGTATCTTCGCCCATTCTTCATGGGCAAAGGCCTCCAGTTCAGTCACATTCTTAGGCTTGCGCACTGCAACTGCTTTCTTTAAGTCCCACCAGAGGTTCTCAATCGGATTTAAGTCTGGTGACTGCGATGGCCACTCCAAAATGTTCCAGCCTTTCCTCTGCAACCATGCTCTAGTGGACTTGGAGGTATGCTTGGGATCATTGTCCTGTTGAAAGGTCCAACGTCTCCCAAGCCTCAGGTGTGTGGCGGACTGCATCACGTTTCCATCCAATATCTCCTGGTACTGAAGAGAATTCATGGTACCTTGCACACGCTGAAGCTTCCCTGTACCTGCAGAAGCAAAACAGCCCCAAAGCATGATTGACCCTCCACCATGCTTCACAGTAGGCAAGGTGTTCTTTTCATCATAGGCCTTGTTCTTCCTCCTCCAAACATAGCGTTGATCCATGGGCCCAAACAGTTCTAATTTTGTTTCATCAGTCCACAGAACACTATCCCACAACTTTTGTGGTTTGTCCACATGGCTTTTGGCATACTGCAGTCGACTCTTCTTATTCTTTGGAGACAGCAAGGGGGTACGCCTGGGAGTTCTGGCACGGAGGCCTTCATTACGCAGTGTGCGTCTTATTGTCTGGGCTGAAACTTCTGTACCCACATCTGACAAATCTTTTCTCAGTTCCTCAGCAGTCACACGGGGACTTCTCTCCACTCTACGCTTCAGGTAGCGCACAGCAGTCGAAGTCAGCATCTTCTTTCTGCCACGACCAGGGTAGCGTTTCAACAGTGCCCTTTGCCTTGAATTTGCGAATGATGCTTCCTAAGGTGTCTCTTGGTATGTTTAACATCTTTGCAATCTTCTTATAGCCATTGCCCTTCCTGTGAAGAGAAATCACCTCTTCTCTTGTCTTCCTGGACCATTCTCTTGCCTTCACCATGTTTGTAACCACACCAGTAAATGTCTAGAAGGAGCTGAGTATCACAGTCATTTTAAAGCTGCCTAATTGGTGCTTATTATGCTTGATTGCTGCTCGGTGACATCCACAGGTGTTTTCAATACCTGATGGAAAGCACCTGTATGAACCTCTGTTCTTCAGAGTGGTAGTCTTTAAGGGGTTGAATAATTGTGGCAATGAAGAAACCACATAAGAACCATTTACTACTGTATTACATAAACAATTGATGTCATTTTAGTTGCATTTGGGTAGTTACAACGTCCTTGTAGGATTTGATTCTGAATACAATTCCAAATGTACACTATAGTCCCTAAACCCCTTTACAGCATTGGGGGTTGAATAATTTTGGCCACAACTGTATTTTACCCATCTCCCGCCCGCCATATAAGGAAATGACGGTCGCAAGGCGGTTCTCTCGTTCTGGGAGGACGTCATATGACCTCCTCCCATTGTAACCTCGCGTGTACGGCTCCAGGAGCGCGCGCAGTGCGGCGATCAGTGGTGCGCTGTGTCCCTCGGACACAGCGGATCACCGATCAATGGAAAGAGCTGAAGACGTCGGCTCGGTTATGTGATCAGCTGTGTCCAATCACAGCTGATCACATGTAAATAGGAAAATGCTGGTTATCGGCATTTCTCTCCTCACGAGCTGTCACGCTGACAGCTCGAGAGGAGAGTCGGTAATCGGCATTACTCAGAGGGGATATCTACACTGATCATCAGGGCACTGATGATCAGTGTAGACCCAGCAGTGCCACCTGTCAGTGCTCATCCATGCCGCCTGCCAGTGCCCATCATTGCCACATCAATGCTACATATCAGTGCCTACCAGTGCACATCAATGCCACATATCAGTACCCATCTGAGCTGCCTTTCAGTGTCACCTATCAGTGCCAGTCAGTGCCACCTATCAGTGCTGCCAATCAGTGCCACCTATCAGTGCCAGTCAGTGCCACCTATCAGTGCACATCAGTGCTGCCTATCAGTGCCCATCAGTGCTGCCTATCAGTGCCGCCTAACAGTGCCAGTCAGTGCCACCTAACAGCACCAGTCATTGCCGCCTTTCAGTGCCCATTAGTGATGCCTGTCAATGACTATCAGTGCCACCCACCAGTGCCTCCTCATCAGTGCCACCTGTCAGTGCCAATCAGTGCAGCCTATCAGTGTCCATCACTGCAGCCTCATTAACGCACATCAGTGAAGAAAAAAAAAAAATCACTTATTTACAAAATTTTATAACAAAAACTAAGAAAAAACTTTTGGTTTGTTTAGCAAAAAATTTAAAAACCCAGAGGTGATTAAATACCACCAAAATAAAGCTCTATTTGTCTCAAAACATGATAAAAATTTCATATATGGGTACAGTGTTGCATGACCGCGCAACTGTCATTCAAAGTGTGACATCGCTGAAAGCTGAAAATTGGCCTGGGCAGGAAGGGGGTATAAGTGCCCGGTAGGCAAGTGGTTACTGCATATACAGGCTGATTTTACTGTTGTGGGTTTAGTAACACTTTAAGTTCCTGAAGTCGCTGTTGATAAGTTGTATCCCCCAGAGCTAAAATGTGATTAATATAGAGTAAGGCATTTATTGTGGAATTGGTGCATACCTGTCCTCTTTATCCGCTTACTCGTATGCCCTGTAAGCTGTAATTGTTTGCAATGCTTCAGCTAGTAGATTGTGTCTCAGGTTGCTAACAAAATTCTAGAGATCTTGAAAGGTCTCCATTTTAGTCTTGAATGAAATTAGGTAAGTATATAGAGCTAGTATTGTATATGTGAAGATAAATGGGTTCCTGGTCTAATGCAAGTAGATAAATAGATTAATAAAATTTTATCTATTGTTCTACAGCATCAATCTCTGCTAGCTCATTCTGTGGTATTGATTAATCATTAAGGATTTTCAGATGGTCTGATATGAAAGCAAAATGTCAAGAAAGGCAGTCTTTGATTTATTGAGTTCATCTTGATTAGCATAATATACATTTTGTAAGAATAAATAAATAATTGGCTTATATTTGGGTGATAGACAACCTCTAGCTATAAGAGAACGGTTACCACTGTGATTAAAGGGATACTCCAGTCAAAATAAACCTTTTCAGATGTAGCCAAAATAAACTGCAGGTGAACTGCTAAAGACAGTTTAAAGAGTAACTCCACTTTTGTGGAGAACCCCCCCCCCCCAAAAAAAAAAATAACATATACAATTGTGACACTAGTCTATTGTAATTGAATGTTATTAAAAATTCCCTTTTCTTTTCATTCTGCAGTGATGTCCTTTTCTGCAAATTGCAATGCAATATGGCAACCTGGAGGTATTCTGTACATAGATGGTGTATGAAACAGCCGCAGAAATGTCATTTCCTGCTTGTGTGAATGGCTTTTTGATTTTCCTAGAAGTTGTCACTAAGCTACAAGTCAGATTTTGGGCATCCCTTGCAACATAAAAATTCATTTTTGGTGAGATACTGCCAAAGGGAAGTCACATCTACAGGGATCCAGACCCTGCCACTTTCTTTATTAGAGCCCTGCAGGTACAGCACTCCCATACAGATTCACTCTGCACATGGACACAAATAAACTGCTATTTATTCAGAATAATAAAAGATAGAAATCTGCAACAAAGTTTTTTAAAAATCCCTGCAATGTAGAATGATGACCTAGAGGGGAATGTTTTTTGTCAACAAAAGTGGACTTGCTCTTTAACCACTTCAGCTCCGGAAGGTTTTACCCCTTCGTGGCCAGGCCATTTTTTGCTATTCAGCTTTGTGAAATTTATATAATTTTTTTTCACACAAATAAAGCTTTCTTTTGGTGGTATTTGATCACCACTGTTTTTTTTTTTTAATGTTTTTGCGATTATAAATGAAAAAATACTTTTCTGCTATAAAACATAATAAAAAAAAATCTAATTTCTTCATAAATTTTGGCCAAATTGTATTCTGCTACATGTCTGATAAAAAAATCCCTACAAGTGTACATTGATTGGTTTGTGTGAAGCCCATACAAACTATGGTAGATATCAGGGGTCTCCAAACTTTTTAAACAAAGGGCCAGTTTACTGTCATTCAGAATTTAGAAGGACCGGACTGTGGCCATTGAGGGTAGAAAATGTCCTGGTGTTGGTAACAATGCACCATCATTGGTGTTCATGAAAGGAATAGTGCCCCGTCATTGGTTTTAGTGGGTGGAATAGTGTCCCATCATTGGTGTCAGTGGGAAGAATAGTGCTCCATCGTTGGTGTCAGAGGGGAGGGGAGAGTAGTGCCCAACTGTTGGTGTCAGTGGCAGGAATTATGCCACATTATTAATGTCAGTGAGTGGAATAGTGCCCCAAGGGCCAGACAAAGGGAAGCACAGGGCCGCATCCAGCCCCAGGGCTGCAGTTTGGAGACCACTGGTATATATACTGGAATTTTTTTTTATTAATACTAATGGTGGTGTTCAGTGGCTTATAATGCAACTGCAGGAGTGGGGCGAACAATTTGACACTAACTGACGCTGACTAACTGCCACTGACATCAACAGTGACATTAATATAGTGATGACACTGTACACTTTCACTGTACTAATGACACTGGCTGGGAAGGGTTTAACATCTAGAGTAATAAAGGGGTTAAATGTGTGCCTAACTATGTGTGATGTGTGTAAAGTATGCTGCTTTTACTAAACTATCTCTATGTTTCTCATCCTTGCTTTGCTTTGCAGGGATGAGAAACTTACAGATTGCTCCCTATGTACAGAGCTCTGTGCTGTTTACCAACACAGAGCTCTAGTCTGTGATTATTTACCAACACAGAGCTTTGTTTACCAACACAGAGCTCTGGTTTGTTATTGTACACAGCCAGTCACCAGGTCCCAGCCAGGGACTTACTGACAGGCTCCCGTTGTGTACAATCACCCGGAAGTAGGCAGCGATGTACCCGCATGTCGCTTTGCCTACAAACTGCCACCTGTCCACAGTAGATTGTGGGCGAATTGTCGCTAAGTGGTTAAATACATAAATTATTACTGTTTCACCTGCCAAAGGATGCGTTTGGTTATGTAGCCAGTACTATGATTTACATACTGTACATCTGCCTCACTGCACAGCCAGGTGAGTGACACCCCCGTATCTTCCACTTCCTCTATTATCCCTTCACCTCCAACCTGGTCAGTGTACAATTAATGTAGACCTTGCTTTAAAATGGAAAGTTACATAGTTAGTCTGGCTGGAAAAAGATGGTGGGTAAACCAGATCTTGTTGGGGAATAGAGAGGATCATTTGCCTTACTCCAAAAAAAATATGCTGGTTAGGCAAGAACTACGAGCGGAAATGTTTATTTTCTGAGGCCAAATGCACACTGGGGGGGTTTTAGCCCCTGTGCACCAAGTTACATAGTTAGTCTGGCTAAAAAAAAGACAAAAGTCCATCCAGTTCAACCATAAAAAAAAGAAGTTATAATCCTACACCCACAGTTGATCCAGAGGAAGGCAAGAAAACCCAGCAAAGCATGATCCAATTTCCTCCTGCAGGGAAAAAAATTCCTTCATGATCCCCCGAGAGGCAATCAGATATTCCCTGGATCAACTTTAAAGTTTAAAGAAAGGTTTACTTATTTAATGCGCCCCCACATCTCAATTTCTCAAAAAGAGAAAAACACCCCTAGGATAAAAAAAGTTACTTAATACACTTATCTACTCCAGCTTGCCACTGCTTGGTCTAGGCAAGGGTAACGTCACCATCCTTCTAGTGAAATCCCCGAGCATGCTGAATAGGTGAGATCTGAGAAGACACTACTTTACTGTGCTGTAGTGTCATCTTGTGAGAGGTGGACTACAAGGCATTCCACAAGCTTTCATCAGAAGGACGGTGACTTGACCCCTAGCAGTATGGAAGCTGGGGGTAAGTATGCTAACTTACCTCTGTCCAATGGGAAAGAAGAAATATATTGTGCCTGAAACGCTTTAACATTGTTGTTTCACAATCTAACACATCAAGCAACAGTGTTATGAATAACAGTCTACAGTACACTAGAGCGTGGACTAGTCTTATACACACTCATGTCTATGATATTGTTGCATAGACTTGAAGCTTGGCCAAATCCAGCGTCTCTAATTTACAGCCTAATGTGAAACTACCATTAGAGCTTTGCTAAGAGCTTTGTTTGTCAGACTTGTGTTGGGTATTTTATTGATTGGTTACCTCATTTTATGCTCTGAAAAATATATCCATAATAATAGAATAAAAACAACACATTTCAAGCTTTATTTTTATTTTATTTTTTTTTTTTGTTTTTTTTTTTTAACAAAGATACATTTAGACTATCATTCTTCTTAAAGCCCATCTCTTGTCCTGCCTTTAGTCATTTTGCTGCCTTCGAGGGTTTTGCATTTTTGTACACGTTTAAATATTCATTTTAGGTCTGAAATTAGTTAAAACCCCCAAACATTGTATACTTTCTGAAAGCAGACACCCTGGAGAATAAAATGGCGGAGTTCCAATTTTTTTATTTCTCATGATATTTGCCGACTGATTTATCAAGCACAACATTTTAGTAAACAATGCACTAAAGTGAATTTTAGGGCACACATACTAAATATATTGTGCAATATATTACTCAAAATCTCAAGCTTTAAATGTGTGTGCACCCGCAAAGCAACAATGGACTTCGGTGCCCTATATTTTCCATAGTCTCCTAGATTGTAAGCTCGAAAGAGCAGGGCCCTCGATCCCCTCATGTTTTGCATTGTATTGGTATTGTTCTGTCACATGTTCTGTCCCCCTCTGTAATGTACAGCGCTGAGTGAACCATTGGCGCTTTATAAATACTGTATAATAATAATAATAGACGATGCTTTAAAAGTCCCTACAGGTCTTCAATTTAGAGTTAACTGTGAGGTGGCAGTGGCCCTGGAATTATTGCTTTCATTCCAGAGTTCATGGTGATATGTAATATGTGGGCTGCAAGTGATGTTTTCACACCTAGGTGCCCCCAATGGGCGTGTTTATTTTCATGTGTGTGTGCACATGGGGACAGGCTCCAAATTGTTTTGGGGGGGGGGGGGCTTAGGAGTAACTTTGCTTTTTTTTTTTGACTTTT